AAAGGTCCAGAAGTGTTTTGGGTTGTCTTTTATTGATTGTTCGGTTAACTTAAGGTAATGCTTATAACAAGCAGATTCCATGGTTTTTACTCTGTCACGTAACAATTTAAACGTATACTCATCAGATTTATTACCATAGGTTTTGAATTTGCGTAGGTATTTATACTTTTCGCGAATAGCTTTAATGAGCGAGGTGGTATACCATGGTGGATACGTCTTGTTACGGATGGGCTTTCGAGGTATGTATTTATTTTGCAAATCAGTCATACAACCATTGAAATACTCCACTGAATCATTTATCGACAGTAGCGAGAATTTATGTTGCCAATCTGTGGATTTTATGTCATTATTTAATGAGTGGTAATCGCCTTTGCTATACACGTACCGCATCCGAGGCGCACAATGTAGAATAGGTATGTTAAGAAAGGATATACTAACTAATAAAGCCGGGTGATATGGATCAGTGGGTACTAATGGGTCAGAGCATTCAGAGACCTGTACGGGATCGCTTGAAATCACTAAATCCAAGATTTTCTCAAATTTATTCAATACGCTATTATATTGTCCGAGGCCTAGGGTACATAATTCGTCTGCAAGTAGGTACTCATCCGCACTCAAAAGATTAGTTGGAGAGAGTGATTCATCATTACTTGGTAACCATCGAATTCGACTCATATTGAAGTCACTAACAATTAAAAACTTATCGCGGTTATTGTTCGTAACTAATTGACTTAGTTTCGATAGAAATATTTCGAGTTGATGTGAAAACGAGAGGCCATTATGTTGTTTGCATAAGTATATAACACAAATGTATAAGTTAATGTACTCGCGCGAATGAGGTTTTTTGAAGCGTATCTTAATCCAAAGGTCCTCAGCGGTGGAATGTAGTAGTGGCTGTGCACTTACCGGTAAATCACGGCGTGTAGCAATAAGAACACCACCCCCTCTCGATTGTCCGGTTGAGAGGTAATCGCGGTCCCTGCGCCACACTAAGTACCGGTCGTTGAAACATTCGGAGTCCAAAACACCTTCAATTAACCACGTCTCGGTCAACACGAAAACATCGTATGAGCTCATAGTCACCCCGCGATAAAATGTGTCTGTCTTTGTACGCAGCCCCCGTACGTTTTGATAATATATATTCAAGTTTAAATTACGTTCAATACTTGTAGCCATCACTGATACTTGCAATAAATATATGACGGCAGCCATACTGTAGTCAGGCTGCGAGAGACGGCGACTAGATGGCGCTAGTGGAACGTGCACCGGACGCACCATTTGAAATATTATTTAGTCGATTTTACATCGATTATTTGGCTCAAAAGACTTGAATTCAAACTGGTAAAATATTGTGACGTTTCCCCTCCCCAAGCCACCGCCTTTATAACGAGCTGAGCTGTTGAGACGGCACGCGGATTCGCTCGGACGTCGACGAAGCAACACCTCCGCAGCTCCCGAAGACTCACGAAGCCTGACGAAGTTGCCCGAAGCTGTTGGTACCTGCACGGAACCGTTTTCTTTGATCCCAGGCCTTCGGCCGAGTGTTCGCAGGAGACGTCCGCCCACCGATGCAGTGGCAAACAAACACAACAGTGCTGATATAATTGTGGGTCGACCACAGCCCAGTTTGGTTTTCAGCGGTGAATCTGTTGTGTTTGTTTGCAACCCCGTGTGACCCCTGCGCCGCCCGGCTCCGGCCGAGCGACAACCACCAACCTCCTAGGGCAGGCCGCGCGCTTTTCTAGCGCCAGCTATGCCCAGGAGACGCGCCAATAACCCCAAGGAGGGTGTCGCGGGCTCCCCTCGCGCTCCGCAGGCTCGAGCTGCACCTGCGCTCGCCAGCGTTGAGCATGAGGGTGAGCACCGCGCACCCATGCCCCAACCGGAAGCGCTCGCGCGTCGCCCCCGACAAAGGGCCACTGCGCAACCGCGCGCCGCGAGTCGCGCTACTAGGTCGCCGGAACCGACGACCTCGAGCGAGGACTCGACGCCGCGCACCCCAGCCTACCCCCGCGGAGCCTCCCCGCGTCACCAACTGTACTCGAACGCCTTACTCCCTATGAAGGCCGAAACGAAACGCGAGATCCAGGAGTGGCTAGCCCGCCAACGACTGCCAACACCGACGCCTCCGCTGCCCGCTTCCACGCAGGAAATGGACACGGACGCCCCACCGCCACCTACCCCCACTCGTCGTCAGCACAGCCCCGAAGAGGAGCAGTGCGACGACAGAAAGCGCCCCTGCCTCACTACCCGCGAGAGGTCCCCGCTGTATTCACAGCGTGACCCGCGGGTGGTAAGAAGGCAGCAACAGGACGCAGGGCGACAGGTCGACACCTACGCGCAGGCCGCGAGGTCCCCGCCGCCCGCCGCTGCCCCCACCATCGACACCGAAATGACCGCTGCCACCACAACCCAGGCGCCTAGACGCCGATACCCGCCGCTAATAGTGGAGCGCCTCCCGAACTGGGCTACCCACATAAGGGAACTGAAAAGAAGCCTTGGCCGGGCGGCAAACGCCCGCCCCTTTGGTAGGGGGATACGCTTCTCCCCTAGAGATGGTCAGGAGTTCCGACTCGTCCAGCGCTACCTCACGGCGCTGGAGAAAAACGAGGGAGTCTCCTGGTTCTCCTACTCCCTCCCGGAGGAGCGGAGCTTAAAGGTGGCCATTCGTGGCCTGCCAAGCAACGCTCCGAGACCTGGGCTTCGACCCCGAGTATGTGCGGAACATACGGGGTCGTGGCGACCGTCCCGGGTGCATTCTCCTCGCCATCCTGAAGAGGACACCAAATCTGACACCGGGGATATACGACATCGAGGAGATGTTAGGAATCCCCAGTGTGAAAATAGAAGCCTGGCGCGGGAAAAAGAGGCCCGCGCAATGCCACCGCTGCCAGCAGTTCGGGCACTCCAGCCACCACTGCCACCGCAGACAGGCGTGTGTGCGGTGCGGCGGTGAGCACCCCGCTGCGAGCTGCCCCAGGCCTCTGCAGGAGCCCGCTACGTGCGCCAACTGCGGAGGAGAGCACCCGGCCAACAATACCCACTGCCCCGTCTTCCAACGCGAACAGCGAAACAAGAAGGCGGGAACGGTCGCCGTCACCGGGGAGTCGCGCCAAAGGCCGACACCGGTGAACCCACAGCCCATCGGGGAGAACGCGCAAGGGGCGTCGCTTATGGCGGCAGCGAACCCCGCACCTCCCCGAGCATCCACCTCTTCCAAGAGAAGGCGTAAGAAGAGGAGCGGCAAGAAGAGAACCACTTCCCTCGCTGCAGACACCCAGGCTGACAGCGTCGCGGAAAGACCGTCCGCCGGTCAGCCCGCCAACAATCCAGCTACTACCATCGTCCCCCGTAAAAGGGAGACAGAGAGGACCAAGCCGACCGCCCGCGCAAGCACCTACGGACTAGCAAACGCCCAAAGGGCAGAAGAGGATAGCAGCACAAAAGCTGTTATCCTTTTCACACTGGAGCTGCTCCAAGAGTTGTTGGCCGCCATGAGCCAGGAGCAGAGCAGAGACGCCGTCGCTCGCATCGCCACCAAGGGCGTAGCTGCCCTGCTCGCCTGGGGGGCGTAGGCGCCCTGCTCCGCCAACACTTCAGAACTACTATTGCTGCGGCCACCCCGCGGCTCGCGAGCACCTGTGCCTACTTGGCCCAAGAAGGCGCACCGTGTGTGGGCGCCGGTGGCCGCCGCAACCAAAACGCACAGGGCACTCCGCAGACCGCATAGCGGTGCGGACTGCCCCACATACCCCGGACGAGACACCAGAGGGTTGCAGGTAAGCCGCCGCCTCTGTCGCTGGTCGCCCGGAGCTGGGCCTCCCCGGGGAATCGCCTGGGGTCTCACCTGGCTCGGGCTCGACCGCCGAGGCGGCGTGAAGATCGGCAACCCCTCACAAGATCAGCAATCCAAACAATATACAACATCCCACGACCTACCCCTGTTTAGGGGTAGCGGTAGACACCGCTGGCAGGGGGCTACAGCCCCGATCCAGCCACCACGCGTCCCCTACGGGACGGAGTGAAGACCAGCAGTAGACGGCACGCATTCCGAACAATTGCGTCCCGGTGCTCGGACCACTGTCTCTCGACAGTCAGTACTGCCCGATTACTATCCTTATTGCGATTTAAGATATTTGGATTATTTGATTATAGTAATAAATTTTGTGCATTTGTGTACACGAGTTTTACTTCTAATGTCTGGACCTAACCCGACATCAGAAGTGGGATCCGATTGTCCGCCCACCTCTGGCACTTCGTCAGCACAAAATATGCAGGAGAATAGTTCGCTACCCTCGCATAGTTTAGAAACGATTCTTTCAAAATTAACTGATGCCCTGCTACCCCGGTCCAATGCACCGTCACACCCTTTCACAGTTTTGGTACCATTTGACCCCGACGACCTAAATTCAGATATAGAGGGCTGGTGCAGATTGACGGACGCCATAATTAAGGGCAAAAATCTTAGAGGTCTGGATCTGATCATAACGCTGACCCATGGTCTGCGAGGTCGCGCAGCTACATTACTGACCAAAATACCTCCCAGTCAATATCGATGGGAAGATATTCAAGAGACTTTGAAAGCTCAGTTCTCTCGTCCTATGTTTATTCAGGATCACTTTGACAGTATCCTCAAATTTCAAATAACTGCTAATGAAACCCCCGCTCAGTCATGTTTACGTCTTTGGCAACTGATCGAAAATATCCCAGACACGAATTTACCTGAAAAGGTTGTGACGGGCTTTGAAGTTTCCGTTTCATCACGGTGTGATGTTCAAATACGTCGTGAATTAAACCCCACTGTGGTAAATGACAAATCCCAGCTATTTCGTGTACTACGAGGTATCTCCTTGAAAAGAAAATCGGAATTTTCCGAGCCAAACGATTCCGATGTCAAACGCTCTCGTGCTACGTTTCCCTTTCGTGGCAATTGCCACGTATGTGACAAGCCTGGGCATCGAGCAGCTGATTGTCGTGAACGAAATAAACCAAATGTATCAATGATTACGGATAAACGCGTCAACCAGAGGCATCAAGTCACTTGCTACGTCTGCGGGGAACCGGGCCACGTCGTCTCCACCTGCCCCAAGAGGGTTGACTATACGAAGAAGGAACAAGCCGCTACCGGAAGCAAGGAAGTCAAGGTGTGCTCGAAGATTGTTAGAGGTGCTCTGGATTGTAGTGGTATGACATTTCCTTTTATTTTTGATTCTGGTTCGGAGTGTAGTTTAATTAGGAAAAATATTTCACCCCTTGTTAATGGAAAAAGATCGCACGACCTTATCAACATGACTGGTATTGGAAACAGTATCGTTAGTAGCACGGAGCAAATTAATTGTGACATAAAAATCCAGAGTATTGAAGTTAGCGTCACGCTTCATGTAGTTCCAGATGATTGTCTGCGCGACGCTATTTTATTAGGTAGAGATATACTTGAGCGCGATATTCTTGTTGAGATTTCGGAGACCGGTTTAATATTCAAGCGGTGTAAGGTATCTAATATGTGTACCAAAACCAAACCTATATTTGACATTGAATCAATTAATACTGACCTGACAGGAACTGATAGAGTAAAGCTTTTTAACATATTAACTCAATACACGGACAATTTCATTGAACATTTTCCTACAACTAGAATGAAAACGGGACAGTTGAAAATCGATTTAATTGATCCGATCTTGCCCATTGAACTCCATACCGATGCAAGTAGTGAAGGATATGGTGCCATACTTATCCAAAAACATAATGATGCCCCTCATGTGGTAGCATATTATAGTAGAAAGACTATAGCACGGTACAATTATAATACAGTACTCCAACTTCATACAAACGGACGAAACGCGAGCTATACCTACGAGCCTCGATCTCGGGGTGCGCTCGGGGCGCAGACAGTCACGGCTGTACCGCAGTGTCGAACGGACGGTGTGTTGTTTTTTTTAACAATAACCGCGCGATCTTTTCTCTAAAAATCAGTTAATATGACGAGTAGGAAATATTGTGCTGTTTTTGGTTGTATGAATTCGTCAATAACGCATCCAGACATAAGTTTTTTTAAATTACCTGGAAACTCTGAAAGGTAAGACTATAAAATATTTTTACTTACTAGTAGGTACGTACATGTGTGTCTTTTTAATGGATAAGTATTTCCTTTTATCTCACGAAAAAAAAGGTGTTTGGATTAATAAATAAAGCGAATAGAGTAACGGAAAGTTATTGAGACGAGTGAAATAGGTAGTTATATGCGGTTCTGAATGAATCCATGATACGGTAGGTACCTACCTACTCACGCTTGTGTTAAAACTTCGGTGCATGTGTGTTTTGTTACTTGGCATAATTCAAAGTAAAGACGTGGTATTTTATTATTAATAATATTTGTTTATTATCTGTGTGTATGAATAATACTAGAAAAAAAAATTATCGTCTGTGTGTCATTAGATAGTTTTTGAAATTTTCGCAAAGTGTTTCTGCTGCTACTATAACAACATACACCACTAAAAACTGGTTTTATTTTCTCGGTATTAACAACAACAGCTTGACTCATATATAATATTTAGATGTTTGAGGGTTGTGATTTTAAAACATTCGTAGTCAGCTGTTCAGCTTTTTAATAATTAATTAATTGGTGACCAAAGAATTTTTGTTTTGAGTTGTTGCGAGTTGTAGGTAGGTACCTAATTTATAGAGACGTTAATAAGCTGAGATAAAAAGTTACTTACTCCTCAGCTGTTTCTTGTATTCTAGTTGAGTAGGTAGGTGTTGGAGTTTCTAAGGATTGGAGTTTTGTAACGCGTAAGAAGAAAGCACATTTTTTTTATTCTATAGAAGGATTTTTAAGCTATTGCATAGCTTTTATCGCGGGCTCTAAGCGTGGCGCGGCGCGGTGACCGAATCAAGAAATTCTCAAAACCTAACGAAAAATACCACGAAATTTTTTTGTTTAAAAAAAAAAAAGTTATGCAATAGCTTTACCGCGGCAGTCTCCGAGAGTGCCACATGTATTTTTTTTTCAGACGTCTTCAATGGTTGCAACTGATTCGGCGAGATGATTTGGAAAACAAACCTAACTTTAGTTCCTACCAAGTTTGTGAAAAACATTTTAATTTGGAGGATGTATTACATACATCAAATAGAAAACTTTTAAAAAAGAATGCCCTACCATTGTTCATGCTGCCAAGCTTAGCTAGTACTGATCCAGGAGTCTCTCTAAAAGAAGATAAACAAACCCAAACTGCTCCGTTGGTAGGAAATGAAAATAGTACACAGACTGAAAATGCAACAAATAAAATCTTTGCTCAAACCTCAACGAGTCTCTCTAGCAACACTCCAAGAAAAAGAAAATTGAAACTTGAACTCCTCCAATGCAGAAAGAAAATAAAATAATTAAATCTACCAATCAAAAAACAACACGCATTTTTATTGAACACTTCCTATTCAATATACAAAGTATTTCATTTATTTATATAAAAAGGATATTTACAATCATAAATCTAAATAGAAACAGAAAGTAGGCAAATATAATTAAAATGCTGGAGACGGGCAGCCCTAACGCATGTTTACGTACCGCGCGGCTGTAGGCATTTATTTCTATCATGCGGCCGGGTTACATTACTGTATTATAATTGTACCGTGACTATAGATTCAGAGACGCGTTATCACTCTTATGTGTTAGAAACCCTCGCCGTAGTAAAAGCAATCGAACATTTTCGTCATTATTTGCATGGACGAAAATTCACTGTATTCACTGATTGTAACTCCCTTAAAGCTTCCCACTCGAAACGTGACTTGACTCCAAAGGTTCACCGCTGGTGGGCTATATTACAGGCTTACGATTTTGACATTGTGTACAAAGAAGGTTGAAAGATGGCTCATGCAGATTTTTTGTCCCGCAATTTGTCAAACACCAGCTATTTGGAACCCCGTAAAGTAAATTTTCTTGAGTTAGATATAGGTTGGCTAAAAGTAGAACAACAACGCAATTCAGAACTTTCGGAAATAATATCGAAAATACGTAATAATCCATTACCTGAGGAGATATCACATACGTACGATTTAAGACAGGGTATATTGTATAGAAAGATAGAGCGTAGAGGAGTTTCTAGTTGGTTACCTATTGTGCCCCGTTCTTTGATTTGGTCCCTCATTAGCCATGTTCATAATGAAATAAAACATTTAGGTTTTGACAAAACTTTAGACAAACTTTACGAGTTTTATTGGTTTCCTGATATGGCTAAATTCGTAAAAAAGTTCATTAACTGTTGTGTAGTATGCAAAACTTCTAAAGGTCCTTCAGGTGCCCAGCAAATGCAGTTGCACTCCATTCCTAAAAATCCAGTCCCTTGGCACACAGTTCATTTAGATTTAACAGGAAAACTTTCAGGAAAAAGTGATAGAAAAGAATATTGCTCAGTTTTAATAGATGCCTTTACAAAGTTTGTATTGCTTGAATATGCTCCGGCTTTAAGTTCTTCACACGCTGTTAGAGCAATTAAAAATGCTGTTAATTTATTTGGTGCTCCTAAGCGCATTATCGCAGATAGAGGACGTTGTTATGACTGCAAAAAAAAAAAACTGCAAAAAACTTTTGCAATGATAATAAAATAGAGCTCCATTTAATAGCAACTGGTTCTAGTAGAGCTAACGGGCAGGTCGAGAGGGTCATGCGAACTTTAAAGAATATTCTTACTATTATAGAAAGTAATTCTAATAATACTTGGAAGGACGAACTAGGCGAGATTCAGCTTGCTCTTAATAGTACACGTTCCAGGACCACAGGGTTTACACCCATGGAACTGATGTTTGGTATTCAAGGTTCCTCGCTTAATCTAGCTAAAATAACTCCTAGTTCTTCTGAACCAACTCTTATTAATGTCAAAGCGGCTCGTTCATCTGCATCAGAAAATATTCAAAGAGTAGCTAACGCTGACACTTTACGGTTTAACAAGGGTAAAGCTCGGATTAAACCTTTTGCAGTTGGTGAATTTGTTTTTGTAAAAAGCGAAGAAAGGCATCAATCTAAGTTAGACAAGAAGTTTAAGGGACCTTATAAAATAATCACTGTATTAGATAATGACCGTTATGAACTTAAACATATTAACGGTTCTAACAGAATTTATAAATTTGCTCATGAAAATTTAAGGGGAGTACCTAAAGGGCAAGAAGGCTATCTAGAAATTTATGAGTATAGTGATGAAAGTGATAGTACTGATGAACGAACCGTGATGGCAGATGATGAATTCAATATATCTGTTGTGCCTGGAAATAGTAATACGACCTCTGAGGAAACTGTAACTGTAAACTCCCCTATATTGTCTGTAGATGATTCAGAGACACTTTCGGTAAGCTCTCGCACCTTAACCGCAAATGACTCTGAAGAAACTTTATCTTGTAGTTCTCGTACATTAAGCGTGGATGATTCCGAAGCTGTAATAGAATCTTTGGAATGATCAATTTGTGTAGTCTCTTCTACTTTTGTGGAAGATGATGAGTGATGCGCTGCAGGAATTTCACCTACTTTAGTGGGTGACGATTTAGACCAGCATGTTTGAATTGTGGGGTATGATCTATTCTGCGCTGCGGAAATCTCACCTACTTTAGTGGGTGACGATTTAGACCAGCATGTTTGAATTACGGGATATGATCTACTTTGCACTCCAGGAATCTCTCCTACTTTAGTGGGTGTCGATTCAGACCAGTATCTTCAAACTGAAGGGGTTTTCTATGTCAAAGAAATACCTAGACCAGTGATTGTTAATGAAACGATGATGATGTGAATTAAAATTCTTGTTTTGTAGGAATTCACTCGAGGACGAGTGATTTATCAGAATGGCCGTGACGGCAGCCATACTATAGTCAGGCTGCGAGAGACGGCGACTAGATGGCGCTAGTGGAACGTGCACCGGACGCACCATTTGAAATATTATTTAGTCGATTTTACATCGATTATTTGGCTCAAAAGACTTGAATTCAAACTGGTAAAATATTGTGACGTTTCCCCTCCCCAAGCCACCGCCTTTATAACGAGCTGCGCTGTTGAGACGGCACGCGGATTCGCTCGGACGTCGACGAAGCAACACCTCCGCAGCTCCCGAAGACTCAAGACTCAACTCATGCGAGCTCAAACATTGTCTTGGATAGGCTATTACCAAGTGAGCTGACAGTCTCTTGAAGTATTGTAGGCTCAGATGTTTTAGCTTCGAGATCCACAAGTCTAGTACTAAATTCGTCAAGTTTCGCACTGGAGAAGTCGCAAGCGGACTTCAACTCAATGAGTTCTTCCTTGATGGTACGCATATCCTCGACAAGAGCTGGTAGGCTCAATAGTTTCATATAGCAAACATCACATAACTAAAATTATTTTCGCTACAGAACATCAAAACATGTTACATGCCGGGCCTCAGCTGCTATTGGCACACATTAGGCTCACTTACTCTAGGAGGCAAAAACCTAGCTAAACAAACAGTGCGTAACTGTGTTCGTTGTGCACGATTTAGAGCTCAACCTATTCAGGTCATAATGGGCAACCTTCCTAGTGACAGAACACATCTTGAGTTTCCTTTTCTAAACACAGGACTTGATTACGCCGGACCAGTGCTGATAGCCGACCGAAAGGGTAGGGGTTGCAGACTAATTAAGTCATATATTTGTGTTTTTATATGCTTTGCAGTCAGAGCCGTGCATCTGCAGTTGGTCTCCGACCACACCAAGGAGTCTTTTCTTGCGGCCTTTAACCGTTTCATTAGTCGTCGGGGCAAGCCTCAGCGCGTGTATTCTGACAACGGTACTACTTTTGTGGGAGCTTTTAATGAGCTTTCACGCTTTTTACAGGTTTCCTCTGAAGTCATAGTCTGATATTGCAAATCAAGGCATTGAATTCAAATTTATACCTGCATATAGCCCACATTTTGGTGGCATTTGGGAAGCGGCGGTAAAGTCAATGAAACATCTTCTACGTAGAGTAATGAGCTTAACTCACTTGACATATGAAGAACTTTCAACGTGTCTGGCTCAGGTGGAGGCTATTTTTTTTTTTTTTTTTTTTTTTTTTCTATAAAGAGACTTCTTCTATAAAGAGAAGATTCTTAGTTCTAGACCTTTGACACCTCTATCCACTGATCCTTCTGATCTCACTTGCCTTACTCCTTCACACTTCCTCCTCGGACGAGCTCTTACGTCAGTTCCTCGACCAAATATCAGTGACGTTAACATACCGCGACTGTCACGCTTCGACCGTATCGAGAAGTTGCATTTTTGGCAGCGCTTCTCAAAGGAGTATGTCTCCCTTCTCCAGCAAAGGACTAAATGGCAGACCTCTGGACAAGACCTTAAGGCAGGAGACATGGTCTTGGTGAAAGACGCTCACCTATCTCCTCTTCTTTGGATGCTGGGCAGAATCGTTACCGTCAAGCCCGGGTCTGACGGGCATTGTAGAGTTGCGGAAATACGCACGAAGGTGGGCATTATAACCCGTGCCTTTAATAATATCTGCCCTCTTCCAGTGTCTTGAAGTCCTCCAGCCTTCAACTCGGGGGAATATGTTCCTGCGTCTCATCGGGTTGTGCGGCCCCCGCACCAAACCGGTTCCGCGACCTTCATCAACGGCCGGGCGAGGGCTGCTCGGCGCAGGCCGACACTCGCTCAAGAAATGTGTAGGGATCCCCCTACTTTCGTTTGAGTTTAATACGTTTTACACATAAAACACTAAACATTAACAAATAGATTATATATTATTATTATTTATTCACAATATTTACACTTATTCTTCACCTAAAATATTACGTAGTTTACGTAGAAGTTTTCCGTGGCGGTTCGTCGTTGCTGACGTCCACTTCGACGTCCATGACTTTAGTCATAGTTTGTCCGGATGTACTATTTTCTCGAAAATTGACCTGGAAAAAGCTTATAATCAGGTACCTGTCAGTCCGGAGGATATTCCGAAAACAGCCATCACGACGCCATTCGGATTGTTCGAGTTCCCGTATATGACATTTGGTCTTAGAAACGCAGGGCAAACTTTTCAGCGTTTCGTGGATGAAATGACCAGGGGACTCGATAATGTCTATTGTTTCTTAGATTATTATTTGGTATTTTCGCGTAATAGCCAGGAACATGAGCAGCATCTACGCGAGGTGTTCAACAGGCTGAAGCAGTATGGTATGTTGGTTAACATTTCTAAATGTATTTTTGGTGTAACTGAAGTCGAATTTTTGGGCTATCACATTTCTAAGGACGGTTGTAAGCCTTTAGAGTCAAAGGTGCAGGCTGTCAAGGATTTTCCTGTTTCGAAGAACGTGCGGCAGCTTAGAGCCTTCTTGGGCATGTTAAATTTTTATAGGAGATTCCTCCCACGGGCAGCTGAGATTCAAGCTCCTTTACATGTATTGTTAACAGGTTCGGTTAAAGGATCGCAGCCCATCAGCCTTCCCAGTGACACCTTGGCGGCATTCAATGCCTGTAAAGTCAGTTTATCCGAGGCAGCCTTACTAGCACACCCCGACTGCGATGCTAGACTCGCCCTAGTCACGGATGCTTCCGATAAGGCACTCGGTGCTGTTTTACAACAGCTCAAAAACGGTGCTTGGCAGCCGTTGGCCTTCTTTTCCAGAAAGCTGAGTCCGTCGCAGACTAAATATTCACCCTATGACAGAGAGTTACTTGCCATTTATGAAGCCATAAAATATTTTAGGCACATGCTTGAGGCAAGACACTTCATTGTCTATACTGACCATAAACCTACCAGTTTTGCTTTCCACCAAAGGAAGAACAACTGTTCGCCCAGGCAGTATAGACACCTGGATTTCATATCTCAGTTTACGACGGACATTCGGCACATTTCTGGGAGGACCAACGTTGTTGCCGATACTCTGTCGCGTATTGAGGCACTAGAAGCACCCGTCGACCTGGAGATGTTAGGTCAAGGTCAGGCATCTGACTCTGATCTGCAGACCCTGTTATCGGAAGGGTCATCTTTGCGTTTGGAGAAGTGCCACGTCCCTGGAAGTTCATTATCACTTTACTGCGACGTCAGTAACTCAACTTCCAGGCCATACGTTCCGATACACTTCCGGAAGCAGGTGTTTGATAGCCTGCATTCCCTTAGCCGCCCTGGTGCTAACGCGTCGGCCAAATTAGTGGCCGAACGGTTTGTTTGGCCCGGGGTGAGGAAGGATTGTAGGAACTGGGCGCGTTCTTGCATACAGTGCCAAAGGGCGAAGGTCCATCGCCACGTTTCTGCGCCTCTTGGGACATATAGATTACCAAGAGCGCGTTTTAAACAGGTACATATTGACCTTATAGGTCCACTACCTGTATCGCACGGCTTCAGGTACTGCTTAACAGCAGTAGACCGATTTTCTCGCTGGCCTGAAGCATGTCCAATCGAGGACATCACGGCGGAGACCGTGGCGAAAGCTTTAATATCCACCTGGATATGTCGATTCGGTTGTCCAACGGATATAATAACTGACCGTGGACGACAATTCGGATCGGCATTATTTCAGAATCTGTCGAAGTTAGCAGGTTTCGAGCATAAGCGCACGACAGCCTACCATCCGGCCTGCAACGGCCTTGTCGAGCGGTTTCACCGGCAACTGAAAGCTGCAATCGTATGCCACGCTACTGACAGGTGGACTGAGTCGTTGCCATGGGTTTTGTTAGGAATCCGTACTGCGTTTAGGGAGGATTTGCAATCATCCCCGGCAGAACTTGTTTTCGGAGAGCCTTTGAGACTCCCTGGCGAGTTCTTTGAACCCAGTACCGGCGGCAGCACCGACTTATCGGATTTTTCTGCTCGTCTCAGAAACTTCGCTGATAAGTTGCGTCCCGTTCCGACTTCGCGCCATGGTCACCCCAGAGTGTTTGTTTTCAAGGAGCTTGAAACCTGTGAACACGTCTTTCTTCGTGAAGACGCGTCTCGAGGTTCGCTCCAACCTGTTTACTCTGGGCCGCATAAGGTTCTCGCCAGGGGGGATAAAGTTTTTAAGATCCTCCTTAAAAATAAAGAGGCCACAGTGTCGATAAACCGTCTCAAACCGGTTTACACACTGTCCGTTAAAGATGATCCTCCAGAACCACAGGTACAACCAGGTTTTGTTACTCGTTCTGGTCGTCAGGTAAGGTTCCCGGACTATTATCGCCCTTGACGGTCTCTGGAGGGGGGCGGTGTAGGGATCCCCTTACTTTCGTTTGAGTTTAATCCGTTTTACACATAAAACACTAAACATTAACAAATAGATTATATATTATTATTATTTATTCACAATATTTACACTTATTCTACACCTAAAATATTATTTACAAAATATATACATCATTAATACACACGTTTATAATATAAGTACATCATAAATAAATATTACATTTCACAGCGATACATATCGGTTTGTCGATAAATTCTATCGACACATCCCTTTCACTATGCCATCTAAATGTATAGCTAGATGAGATA